GGATTCTAAGAATACAGGTGAAGAGGGAGTGCATTCTAGGAATTCAAAACAGCACACGCAAAGGCAAAATGGCAGGAGATGAAATACTGACTTTAGGCAGCAGCAAATTGCCCTCTTCAGTTGACATGGAAAGTGTGTGAATATATAGAATAGATTGTAGTAAGGAAAATCAGCAAGGCTAAAACTGCGGTAATCCAGATGCAAGGTGATGAGGGGTCTAGATTAAAGGGGATAATAGGAGGAATGAAAAGGAAGGGTCAAATATGAGATATGGTATAGGAAGAATCATGAGTCTTGGTGACTGGATGAAAGGAGGAAAAAGAAAGAGGAATTTTAAAAGGCTACATGATTTAAGACAAGTATTGTGAGAGATGATCTCTGAGAATCTCTCGGCGAATGAAGCCTCCTCAGGGATTTAATAGCTTCTTGTTCTGTTGAAACACTTGTAGCCGGTTGACCTTGTAAAGAAACAGGCTTTTCAACACATCTTGTACTTTATCAGACCTCCTCCTCCCTTTCCAAAACTATTTGCTCTAAAAAGAAAAAAAAACCTCCCACCTTTCCCTGTCTCCAGGCAAGTTGTAAAAGTGTCTTTTGTTCTTTGTTGCTGGGGTAGATTGCCACGAATAGATTGTACCCTCAGAGTTTGCATTAATGAGCCCTGAGGAGGGGGCTGGGGAGGGCATTGAGGCCAGGACCTTTATAACCTGTTGAACTGAACACACCTCCACTCTCTTCTGGTCAGTGCCATTTTTTTTTTTTTGGTGCCCTGAGGGAGCCCTTTCTTGAGAAAGCCAATAAATGAATTATTCTTTTTGCTAATATCTCTGATTCTCCGATTCATTGATAAGGCTTTCTGTACCCCACACAGGTACAACTGTACTATTGTTTAGTCATTATTCAGTCATGTCCAAATCTTCATAACCCCATTATGGGATTTTCTTTGCAAAGATATTGGAGTGGTTTGCCATTTCCTTCTCCAGCTAGTAAATGTCTGAGGTCACATTTGAACTCAGGACTTCCTTACTCCAGGCCCAACATTCTACACTGGGGCCACCTAGCTGCTTTGATAACACAACTGTGTTAACAAGAAAATGTTCATAACAAGACATCTGCGAGGAGGGGAAAGGGTGAATTCAGTTTCAGACATTTCTGATTTTGAGATGCCAGTGAGACTTACTTCAATATTTCAAGGACCCATCTATACCCCTTGGCTCATGAATGAGATATATAACCTCTGTGAAGACTTCTCAGGGTGGTGATGAAAAGACTGTCTCAAAACTAGAGATAGGTTCTGAGAGAACGGAACAGACCATAAATTTAAATTACCTAAACCTATAGGAATTCAGCCCTAAACCCCCTCCTGATTGCCACACCACTGTCACGTCAGCATTAGGTTTACTAAATAAGGACATGTATGTTTGGACTGGCTATACCCTGTTTCCTTGTTCTTTGTCCCAGCGAATGGGAATGGGAAAGATTTTCGGGCCTAGAATGTAAACCCGCCCCCCAGCCAATGGGAGTGAGGGATAGTGGTGGGTGGAGGTTTGCGTTAGGGTATATAATCTCATTTTGCTGTCTGTGCCTCGCCTCTCTCCTCCTGGTAGTGGAGGAGTAGAAGCCCCTTCTCCAGATTGTTATAAAGAGTAATTTTTGCTTCCTTGAAAAGTCTCTGAGTTTAATTGTGTTAGAGTCGCTGTACCACACACTCAGAACTGCACACCCACACAGGAAGAACTTAGGCAAATCAGACATCAAACATTGTACAGGTTTTATTTAAACTGACAGAGAATGCAGAGGTCTTAAACCTTAGCCCATACATATTCAAGACAACTCTTCTCTCCAGTGTGCCTCAACTCCCCAGGGACCTGCACAATTGTTCTCACTTAATAGTGCCTCTCTGAAGTTGATCTTCCCTAGCGTAGGTCTCTCTCATCAGTGGGGTACCCTTCTTTCAATGTTTGTCTGGCAGTAGCTCCTCTCCTGTGGGCTGCACATGTGTAGGCCATTCTTCAGGTGTCTGTCCATCTTCCTGTCCTTGGTTCCTTATCAGTCTATGTCTCTATCTGGTGCTATTTCCCTAATGTATATAGTTCTCTAAAGGGACTTGATAGATGTGAAGGCCTCAGTTTGTGGAACTGAATCCAAACAATCCTCTCTGACACTCTGTATGAGTTGCTTTTAAAGGCTAAGCCCAAGGATGATAATGTCAGTTAAAAAAAAGAGCTGCAAAGTCTGAAGAATGGATTTAAAGGCAGCAGTCTGTAAGTGACTAAAGCATAAAGGCACTAATGAAGAGAAAGATAGGCAGACAGCATTTATTAAGCACCTATTCAGACAGGCATTATGCTAAGTGCTCAGGCTATGAAAACAAGCAAACAAGATAGTTTCTACCCTTAGGGAGCTTACATTTTAATAGGGGAAGACCACACATAAAAGGGAATGGGAAGAGGAATGTGGTAGTGATGTAGGAAAAGGACAAAGTGGAGAAGTCAAGGGTGAGAAGCCAGAAGTGAAGTGAGGATGGCCTGGGCTAAGTATTCACCAATCAGGAGAGTGGGCCTTAGGGAAGAGGCTTAAAGAGAGATGCAGGAAAAATACAGATCTGGGAGGGGAAGGCCCTCAGCCAAAACAGCAACAGTTGTTATTTACATTCATTCTGAGCCCAAACTCAGAGCCCAAACAATGACCAAGTAGGGCATGGCCAGGGACCTACTGTTGGGCAATCAATGAGAGCCAGAGTGATTTGGGGTTAAGGTTGGTCTTTAAGAAAAAACAAAAACAAAAAAGTTTCAGATTACGATTTACATTCCCTTTGGGCAGAGTACCCATACGGAATGGGGTAAGAGAGACAAAGAGAGAAAGAAAGGAAGGAACTAAAGAAGCTCTGGAAGTCTGGTCCCCAGCAGGCAGCTCCTTCCCTATTTACGGAAATTGCTGTTTGTCCTTCCTTCTAGAAGAGGATCATGAGCCCTTCTTTGTCTCATTTCTTATTAAGCCTTAATCACTGAATGGGCAGTTCCTCAGTCAAATTGAGACTTGTTAAAGACAGCTTGAAAAGGTGAAGGTCCACCACCTTATCCTGAGCTATCTCCAGATCCTGGATCCTGATCCATATCTGGTCACTGGATCCAGACCCTGTGGAGGAGAAAGTGAGGCTGGTGATTGCACAACCCTCCCTCACTTAAATCCAATTCACTTGCAAGTCATGGCATCACCTCCTTGATGTCATGGTCCTCTTCTGGAAGGACAAACAGAAAGGGAAAAAATAGTTTAGGAGACAGAAAGTGATGAGATTAAGAGCACAAATGGAAAAGTTGATTTAGAAAGGGGGTAAACACATGTTTCTCGAGGCTGGAAGGGAGCAAGAAAGGATACACAGATATTAATGAGGTGAAAAAGAGGGAATATGGGGAGGTAATGTTAGATGGCCCCCTTTTCTCAGTCAAATAAAAGATCAAGTTAAAAACTAAAAGGGTGAAGATCTAAATAATCCATTAGTATTCAAGCTCTTTCAACCACTGGAAAAAGAGGTTACTCCTACATAATTTATTCTCTCCAGTTGCTCTATTTGTAATGCTCATCAACTTGATTTTTGTAGTCTCCTCTAATCGTTTGCAAAGCACTGCATAAATGTGTTATCCTAACAACAATCTTGCACCGGTAGGTGCCATGATTATTCTCATTTTACAGTTGAGGAAATGAAGCAGAGTTTAAAGGCCTAACCAGAGGCCAGATTGGAACTCCAGTCTTCCCAACTCCAAGTCTAATGCTCTATCCACTCTGCCACCTACCTACCACCTTGAGAAGCCGCTAGCTTCTATCATTTCTTCTTTAAAACAAGTTTTATTGCTGCCTTTTTGCTTTTGTACAACAGCAATTACCCGAAATATCCTGCCCTCCCCAACCCTGGCAGAGACGCCTTCCCTGGAAACAGAAGGTGCTAACATTTCTCCTCTTCCTTTTCCTCCCTCCTTAATAGCATTTAATGTAAATTATTATTTTCTCAGGCCCTTCCAGAAGAAAAAAAAAATCAGCAGAGAAGCCGCTCCTGCCCAAAACACAACTCTCAAACACAACACTGCTGCACACGACCTCGGCTAGATAAAAGACACCAGTGTAGACTCGGCATCTGGAGGAAGGGCAGGAACGCGGGGCCTTCAGGCCCATCACTGAGGCGAGCGCTAGAGCCCGCTGCGTATGTGAGGCCCTCAAAGGAAACAGTCCACCCACAAAAATCCCTCTCAAAGAGGCACTGAGTGCTCGTCTTCCCTCAGCGGCGGGGAGAAGGGCGCCCTAGCGTTTCCCCTCTCAACCACGCCTCACAATAAAACCTCGGCGCCTGTCAAATACATCCCAGCCCCAAGGCAGCGGGAACTGGGTCACCATGGAAACGTCCTCGGGTCAACGCACGGGAAGTAGACAAAACAATCCGCGGCTAGTGATTTGCCTAAAAGGCTACTGCCCCGGAAACGCTTTGGAACCTTGACCTTGAGCGAGGATCTCGCTGCCCCTTTCACTGCCCGGGTGCGTCTGCTTGGCGGCAGCCGCTATAGCGTGTGTGTAGCTCCCGGCCCGTGACAAGAGTACCGGAAGGGTCCGAGTGGCCGAGCAGCGCATCCATTACCAGCCCAGTGGGCCTCTTCCCTCCTTACCCGCTCCACCAAGGCCTAGGGGCGAGACCATATCCCATTTTGAACGAATCTGGAGCAGCAGGGGCCCTTTAAGAACCTCTAGTCTGATGCCCTCATTTCAGAGGTGCAGTGGTATGTGATTTGCCGAGGGTCACACTGGCATTCAGGGACGGATTCCCACCCGTGTCTTCTTGTTCTAAATCGGGTGCTCCATTCCACCGTCCTTTTTCCTCTTGGAGGCAAATTATGTGACAAAATCAGGGTATGGTGACTGGAGACGAATATATACTTTTTAAAATTTCCATGCCAAACTCATAATCATTGTATTTTAAAGATGCACATAAAGCTATTTTGTTAAATGTCTCATGCTTTATTAGGCTTTCAAAATTACACGACTTTTAAAAATAGTTTAACATTTGTATAAAAAAGTTTATTCAATTCCAAATCAGTCATTTATAGGTTAGACAACTACATCAAAAAGAATCTTTAATCTTGTAGTGACTGTTACATACCAAACATAATTACAACTGCATCCCTTGATTTTTGCAACAGCATCATTATTGGTAGAACAGTGTTATTAAAATAGATGCTTTTATGTGAATATACACAATTCCCCTTTTTCCACTTAAATGCAACCTATGATCACATATACATATATGAGAATTTTAAACAGATGAATGTAGTAAATAGAAAATGGATATAAAATAAGGATTGTCAACTCAAGGAATGGTTGAAAAATCCCACTGAAAACTGGTATTTAAAAGGTAGATTAACTTTTTAAAAGAAATTTTGCAATAATTGGAATACTGAAATTAGAGCACTAAAGAGGTAAAGAATGAAACATGATCAAACAAAAAATCAAATCTGGAATGCACAGTAGCAGATAAGAAAAAGTGAAATAATCCTTGTTCTTCCCCATAGTTTGTGCTACACTTTTTCCTGGTTAACCATAATAAAAGACAAGGTGCACAGCTGATTATATGTTATAAGACTCTGGGGTCTGATTGACTAGAACTTATAATCAATAATATATGCATCGTATGCGATGAAATGGAATTCCTTTCATATCTTCCCTGTGATCCCGGGCATAGTCCCATAAATAATAATCAAGAAGAACTGAATTTATTTCTACACAGATTTTTACTCCCTTTTCTTCAGAAAGTTCTAGAAGTCGATCTCGAATCAGTTCAACACACCAAACAGAACAGCCTCTGATTTCCACCTCTTGTTTATCCCCAGATAGAAACATTTCTCCTACAGGAAAAACATTAGAAAAAATATTAAAAACAAGTGACACAACCATACAATAATAAAAATATAGGCTTTGTAACTAAATTTATACTTCCAAATAGTGTAAATATTTATCTTTGTGATATAATCTGTTTTTAAAAAAACAAAGTGATAAGCATTCTGCATAATATGAAATTAGCAACAATGCCAATATTTTAAACTATTATTTGAGGTAGGGTGTAAATTTGGGTTCAAATTAAAAATGTTTTCTATGGAGTGGCAGTCACCTGATCACAGAAAAAACTGCCAAGAAGAGAAATAAGGAAGAAATTAATTTTTATAACAATGCACAAGGGTAGTTCATGACCAAAGAATAAAAAGATTATAGCAGATAAAATGGACAATCTTTATTACATAAAACCAATAGTTATAATTATAAGGGAAACAGTCAACTGAGAAAAAAAATCTGAAGTTTCCTAAAGTTTCATGTCCAAGATATAAGGAAGTGACTTAAAATTTAAGGATTGGGGCAGCGGTGGCACAGTGCGATAGAGCTCCAGCCTTGAAGTCAGGAGGAGGTGAGTCCAAATCCAGCCTCAGACACATGACACTTACTAGCTGTGTGACCTTGGGCAAGTCACTTAACACTGATTTACCTCACCAAAATTTAAGAATTACAGTCATTAACCAATAGATAAATGGTCAAAGTATATGAATAGGCAGTCCTCAAAGGAAGAAACCCAAGCTAATCAATAACCCTATGGAAAAAATCGCTCTAAATCAACAATAATCAGAGAAACGCAAATGGAAGCAACTCTGAGGTTCCATCTTACACCCATCTTTAGCAAAGATAGCAAAAAAGGGAATTACATTCTGGAAAGCAATTGGGAACTATGCCTCAAAAATCATTAAACTATATTCTTTATCACATGTCCAAACTTCAAGATCAAATAAAGAGGAAAAGGACCCCATATGTACAAAAATATTTATAGCAGCTCTTTTTATTATAGCAATTAAATGAAAATTAAGGGAGTACCCATCAATTGGGGAATGGCTGAACAAATTATGGTATATGAATGTAATGAAGTGTGTGAGTGTAAGTGTGTGTGTGTGTGTGTGTGTGTGTGTGTGTTCAACCATATTAGTCATGTTGTGAAAGATGCAGACCCAAAGGAAAAAACCTCAGGAAAAAAAAATGAAGTGAAAATCAGTATGCTTCAATCTGCATTCAGATTCCATCAGTTCTTTCTCTGGAGGTGGACAGCATTTTTTATCATGAGTCCTTTGGAATTGTCTTGAATCACTATTGCTGAAAACAGCTAAGTCATTCACAGTTGTTCACTGTACAGTATTATTACTGTGTATGATGTTCTCCTGGTTCTGCTCACTCAGTATCAGTTCATATAAGTCTTCCCAGGTTTTCCTGAAATCAGCCTCTTCATCATTTCTTATAGCACAGTAGGATTCCATTACAATTATCTACCACAACTTGTTCAGCCATTCTCCAATTGCGGGACATCTCAACTTCCAATTCTTTGCCACTACAAAAAGCTACTATAAATATTTTTGTACAAATAGGTCCTTCCCCCTTCCATCCTTTTAAAAAAATCTCCAAATTGCTCTCCAGAATGGTTAGATCCATTCACAACTCCACCAACAGTGCATCAGTATCCCAATTTTCCCACATCCCCCACTTATTATTCTTCTTTTCTGTCATATTAGCCAATCTGATAAGTATGAGGTGGTACCTCAGAGTTGTTTTAATTTGCATTTCTCTAATCAATAGTGATTTAGAGCATTTTTTTCATGACTATTGATAGCTTTGATATGAAATATAAGATTATGAAAAGTTAGTTTCAGGAAAACCAATGATTATCCTCTAGACCACCTCCTGATAGAAAGCTGATGGACTCAAGGTACAGAATGAAACATCTGTTTTACTTGTCTATGCATACTTGTTTTGATTTTCCTTTTCTTTTTTTTCAATGGGGGGGGAAGGTCAGGGATAAATTAAATGGCCAAAAAAAAGGAAGAAGAAAAAAATCATTGGATCATTTTTCAAAATGCACAAAACTCTGAAAGGAAACAGACAAGCAGAACATCTTTGGAAATTACATCTTCAATTTCGTATATACATAAAAGAAAAAGCAAAATGTACACACTTTGTGTGTGGAGTTGCTCATTTAATTGGTTAAATTAAAAATAAAAATAACATTATAAAAAACTATTATAACATAAAACTATAGGCTTGAAAAAGAAAGGGGAGAGAAGGAAAGAGAAAAATCTGAATAGGTTATAATTGATGATAAAAGAGTGGATGAGATCACTGAGAAAGAACAGAGAATGATAAGAGGAAAGGATCAAGGGCAAAAAGAAATAGCCATATTACTGGGTTAGGAAAAGGATGAAGGAGAACCATGAATGTACAATGCCAGGAAAGCCAAAGAAGAGAGAGTCTAGTTAGAAAGAGAGGATGGTGAACAGTGCCAGTTTCAAACATTGCAGTGAAACTGAGGGTAGGGTCAGAAAAAAGGGAAAGGTCACATTTAGTTTAAGGTGATAGTGTTACATTGTTTGCAGTTGAAAATATGGGACTATGGCTCTTCTCAGCAATGCAAGGACCTAAGACAACTCCAACAGACTCTCGATGGAAAATGCTATCCACATCCAGAGAAAGAACTATGGAGTCTGAATGCAGATCAAAGCATGCTATTTGCTCTCCTTTTCTTTTGTTGTTTTGTTTTATTGCTTCATTCTTGTAGTTCCTCCCATCAGTTCTAATTCTTCTTCACATCATGACAAATGGGAAAATATGCTTAATATGAATATATAAGTAGAGCCTGTATCAGATTGCACACTGTCTTGGGGAGGAGGGAGGAGAGAGTAGATGAGAAAATTTAAAACTCAATCTTATGGAAGTGAATGTTGAAAACTAAAAATAAATAAATTATTTTTTAAAAAAAGAAAAAGTTACATCAGCCCTCTAGATGCTTATTCTTTACCTCTTTTTCTCTTTTAAAATTAATTTTTTTTTCCAATTAAAAAAACAGGGGACTAGAATTTAAATGAGAGATAACTAGTAATAATGAACAGACTAACAATTGAAATCATGAGAATGGATGAGAAGATTCTCAACAGAGAAAGTTTAAGGATTAACCTCTAGTGAGTTATACATGCCTCCTAAAAACTGAGAAAACAGGCACAAGAAGCTTAAATATGTTGACTAAAGTTACACAGAAGGAAAGGACTATGGTCTCTCTAAGGTTACCCTGAGCTCTATTACCTATGTCCCTAAGAGAGGTGGCATCTATGTTAGATTTTAAAGTCTGGGTAGAATTTCAAAAGGTGGGAGAAGGAAGAGAGGAGCCAGTTCAGGGTTAAAAGAAGAAGAGAAGTCAAAAAGTATGATGTCACTACATTTGACAATAAAGTAATTAGTAAGTGGTTTACCTTCCAAACAGCAATTTCAGAAGAGTTGTAGGGATGGCCACCAGATTGCAGGAGGTTAAGGAAAAAGTGGGTAATGGAAAAATGGAGACAGTAAATTTAGACCAATGTTTTAAAAGTTTAACAGCAAAAGGAAAGAGACCAAAATAAGACAGTAGCTAAAGGGAAAAAACTGAATCAACTAACTTTTAATGAGAAAAACTATATGTTTGAGAACAGATATGAAAAGAAGATGGAGCTATTTATTTACTACAGAAGCAGTATCTTTCAGGAATAAGATAAGGACGGTATCTACAGCACAAGCAGAGTAGTTAGCCTCAGAGAAAGATCTCTTACCCCTTCATTTGACAGCAGACAGGATAAGAAAATAAATGTGGAGGCTGTAGATTATCTATGATGTACCTCTCATTAAAAAATTATTCTGGCCAAAGAAGGTAATTAACATATTTTCAAAGTATGGAGCTTTGTAACAAGAGTTATTTTTTATTATTTTCCTTTAAGAGCTAAAAAATAAAAAATTCTTTCCAGGATTTGAAAGGAGCAAACACTATGACATTGTTTTAGCCCATAAGATTCTAAAATACTCAAGAGAAATTACAACAGAAAGATGTTTTATGAATTGCTAAATGCTGTGTTCATCTAAGGACAATATAATATACACACCCACCATAAAACAAAGTTGTCAAATAACAAAATATGCTATTCAGTATATTGAGAAGCATTTGTATTTTAATCAATTTCTTTTTTAATTCAATTTAAGAAATGTTAAACTGGCAAATTTTATACTTCAATGAATTAGTACCCAAATGAGAAGATATCAAATTAGCTGAATATAATCACCTTTTAAATAACCCTTTGGTTAATGAATCAGAATATGAATATTACTACATAAGGCAGCATGAGTTGTTTTTATTTATTTATTTATAGTTTTCAACATTTGCTTTCATAAGATTTTGAGTTCTAAATTTTCTGCCCTCCTTCCACTACCCCCTCCCCAAGACAGCATGAAATCTGATAGAGGCTATACATGTATGATCATATTAAACATATTTCCAATTAGTCATGCTGTAAAGAAGAATCAGAACCAAAGGGAAAAACCATGAGAAAGAAAACACACCAAAAAAAAAAAAGAGAGAGAGAGAGAGAGAGAAAATAGTATGCTTCCATCTGCATTCAGACTCCAGATTTCTTTCTCTGGATGTGGATAGTATCATTTTCTATCATAGCATGACATTTTTCAAACAGGTTAATACAGAGGCAGAGTAATTTGCCCAAACTCATATAAAACCTCATAAAAATATTCAATGATTTTAACCTGTAAGACATTAAATCTATTTTATAATCTAATCATAAAAGGAATTTATTCTGAAAAATAGGGAAAAAACATAATACTAACACAACTGAAAAAATTAAAATGAAAAATACAAAGTATTATATAACCAATATACCAGTCATATAAACTGTTGAAATACTCGGGTCATAGAAACTGTCACTAACCCCACTGATTCTGTCCACCAACATTTGCTTGTTAGTCTTCTCTGGAGGGAAATCAGACCTGTAATTTCACCAGTCTAAAG